TTGCATTTCCCTAATGATTAGTGATATCAATCACCTATAATAATAAAAATGTAACATGCTAATTAGGATGGACAGCAGAAAGACCTTCCAGACATCATTCCAGATGTCCTTCTGGGTGAAGTCATGGTGACAGGGGCTGAGGCAGAGGTGGTTAGGAGCGATCAGGGAGGCAGGAGAGCATTTAGGGGCATCAGGCAGGCAATTGGAGTGGTTAGGGGTGATCAGGCAGGCAGGCAAGAGGTTAAGGGTGATCAGGCAGCAGGCAAAATGGTTAGGGATGATCAGGCAGGCAGGCAGGTGAGTGGTTAGGAGCCAGTGGCCTCGGATTGAGAGAGGGATTTCCGACTGCCAGTTTAGGCCTGATTCCTGTGAGACCCTGATTGTGAGAGAGTGCAGGCCAGGCTGAGGGACCCACCCCCACCGTGCATAAATTTTGTGCACTGGGCCTCTAGTCTGTTCATCTGCTTGTTGGTGCAAGATGATTTTAAGTACCAATATTTCTTATTCTGAGATCAAAAATTCTCTTTTATACGTTAATACTGACATAAATTCTAGTACTCATTGGTAAGGCTCAATGCTATGAAGCACTACTCAAAGTTCCAAATATTGAAATATCAGTATTTTCTTTTAGCTTTCCAATTAGTCAAGATTATGACTTAAAAAGTACTCTATTATTGGTTAATTTTGCATTCTTTCTTTTAACTCTTCGGTTAACTTTTCTTATCTCAAAAATCCTCTCAAACAACAGTAAGCTTCTATTTTTCAAAGGTTTCATTGCAAAACACCAGAAAAAGGCATATCTCCCCTGTCTCGTGAAATGGAAACAAGACATAAACATGTTGTCTGAAAGAGAAAAATTATGTTATCCAGAGCCCCAGTAATCGATTTCTCTTTCCAAAGTCTCTGTAGTTTCTGTAACGTTGAACTTAAGTTTATTTATTCAACAGTATTTATGCAAGACTGACTCTGCATTAATTACTGATCACCCAAAGATAAAAATGTATAGTTTCTGCCTTAAAAGATCTTATAATCTAGTGAAAAGCAGATAAAACTCAGCATGTTTAACACAGAACAGCACATGTTGCCGTTGAGAGCAATTTGCCCAAACCCTTGTGGGAGGATGAAGGGAAATAATGAGGCAAAGCCCAGAATTTAGCATGTGAGGGTCTGTGAGAAATGGGGTGGGAAAATGAGGCAGAAAGAAGGGTGCCTGGAAGTGTTTTAAGATATCAAAGACATCACTGAAGTTTTCCTACAAAAATTTTTGACGTCTCAGTTTTTCCTGTCCTTTCATTTTATTTTATTTTTTAAAATATATCTTTTATTGATTTCTTTTTTACAGAGAGGAAGGGAGAGAGAGAGTTAGAAACATCGATGAGAGAGAAACATCAATCACCTGAATCCCAATGGGGATGTTCCCACAACCAAGGTACATGCCCTTGATCAGAATTAAACCTGGGACCCTTCAGTCTGCAGGCTGACGCTCAATCCACTGAGCCAAACTGGTTAGGGTATCCTGTCCTTTCATTTTAATGATAATTTTTATCCATTAATATATATTTTAATAAGTTGCTTGAATGGATAGATGTAAAAATTATAAATACCTTACTGTGTTATACCTTGAATTTAACACAAGTATAAACAAATGTTGATGCTTAAACTGTCAGATTTGGCAACCATAATCTTACAGTCATTTTCTATATAATTTATTTTGCATTAAATTGGTACTTCATTTTTACATTGAAGGACAGTTTATAGTTTATAAAATAGATTCATATCATATTAAAAGTTTTAAATTGATGTTGTATTTATTTTTACCTCACTGCTACGGCACCGATTTCCTTGGGATCTTAAATTCTCATATTTGTGTAACTCAGAAACATTAAATAAAAGTCTTGACCTAGAAAGGGAGAAATCTCTTTGATGTCTGAGCTAATGGCTTGATTGTTTTTAAATTAACAAGGAAGGTGAAGGTACTCCTTGGGTTATGAAAGCTCCCAGGTGAAATGTGTTTTTCAGGTTCTGGGGTTTTGAATGAGATTAATAACAAATAATTTCAGACTTTACATTGTCTGATGAGGTCATTGAGCATACTAATAGTTCTCTCTTTTTACATCTGAGCACCCTGAGACGCACAGAACTCAAGTAATTTGACCAAGGAAATACAAATTAGTGTAATAAAATACAATACAACCAGACACTCAAAGGAGTCCTCCGCTCAGCCTACATGGAGTAATTACAAAAAACAAACAGAAGTACTACGCCCCTTTTGGGTGATTTACTGAAAGCTAATTATTTAAAAAATATATATATCTATTAAGCACTAACATGAGTTTACTTCCATTTCTGTAGTTTGCATGCCATTATACTAAATAAATTAAATAGAAGTGGTCAATCAACTGGAACCTTGAAATGAAGGGCTTAAATGAATTGAAGTATAGGCAGAGAGATAGAAGGAAATATACACAAAGACAAAAATTGCCAACAACAATAAAATAAAATAAATCCACAAAAATAAAACAAGTTATTCCATTTTGAATCATGCTTTTTGAGTGCCACTTCTCTCTCTTCAGACATCTGTTTATGAAGGCAGCTACGTCCTGGTCCCCGGCTTTCCTGGTCATTGGTTCCTGTTAGTCCTTCTGTTAGCAGGAAGATGGGAGAGAAGCCAATTATTTGGGTCCTTCAGTTTTGCTCTTCCATTTCTGTTAGACGGCATACCATTGGAGCTGTCTGTGCAAGCATCATGCCTCTTTATGCTCTCCTTTTAAAACATTTCTATTGAAAGGCTTTTCATATATTAAATATTCCTTTTTGGCTGATATCACAAATGTTTGAATTCCCAGAGGCAGCTTGATCTTCCCAAATCATGCATTGCATTATGAAAATCTGGGTTCGACAACCACTTTAATTGAATTCTCTTTAAATGGCTGAGGACTTGTTTTAATTAATAAAAGGAGCTAAATCGTAGTGAGTTATTGATATGTGCCAGTGGCGATGTAACTCGTGTACGTTCTGTCATTTAATCTTAGCAATACCTGTAGGAAGTAGATGCTGGGATTAATCCCACAGTCTCACACTGTAATAACAACAAACACAGAGCCAACGTTTTGCCTCTGGGACTTTCTGCCTCTCAAAAGTCTGTGCTTTGTACTTGTCCCCCGGAGCTCAGAGCATGATGATTTCCACGGAGTAAAATTCTCAACAAAAGTTGAATTAAATGACACTGCATTCATGTACTGGCAGCCCATTTTCAATGCTCAGTTGGAGTTCAAAATGAAACAATAACTAACCATTTTCACAGTAAAAGAAAAAATGTAATCCTAAAATATTAATTTGATTATTATTTTTTGCCATGAAGGATATAATTTGATAATTCATCTTATGTATCTTATATGCTGCACAAACATTTTGAACTTCTTAAATTATTAACCTTGACCTTTGTGATATTCAGAAAACATTAAAATGTGAAAATACAATATATATGTTCAATAACTCTACATGATACAGTGAAGTGAGTGAAATATGATGAGTTGCTTTTATTTGGAAAAGCATAATATTATTGTTTTGTATGCTTATACAAAAATATTTTTAAATTGAAATTATTTTTTTCAATTACACTTGGCATTCACAATTAATATTTGTTTCAGATGTAAAAAATATTTTTAGTCTTTGAAAAGAGTATGTCTATTCAAAGTCTATGAATTAATAAGATTTGTGTTTGTTTGGTTTTGACTTGTACTCTGGTGCTAAGTATCCTCTTGAAGTAATTTTGCTGTTGCAATTGCATTCATAGTTAAAAGCAAGTAAAAATTGCCATTTGTGATGTCAATTGTAGTATTTCTAAGAAGGCATAGACCTGAGCATCATTTCCTTTTGCAATACTGTTCTATCCTCTTCATCCCAGCGGAGCCTCATTTTATAACCAGAGGTCCGATGCACGAAATTTGTGCAAGGGTCTCGGTCCTCGCAGCCCCAGCTTCATCTGGAAGGTCGTCCAGAAGGTCTCCTGGACAGTCATTCTGCTGTTTGGTCTAATTAGCATATTACCTCTTTATTATATAGAATGGTTGGAGAACACGGAGATTCTGTTAGGTTCTTTAATGGTGGGATAGACCTCCCACAGCAAAATGCTGTGAAGAAGCAACTTTGACATACTTGTTTTTGTTCTGACAGATGGGGGAAAGCGATAATAAGATGCTTAGATTTGAATTTCATGCTTTCCAGTAGCTTTCAAATACATTTTCTCCTAATATGGTTTCACAGCACTCTGCTGGTAGGTGCTGACCCATTTTAAAGAAGACACAAAAATTTGGAGAATTGAGTTGCAAGTCTGAGGTCATCTGGCTGGCAGAGTAAGAAATTAAACGTGGGCGTTCTGATCACCAGCCTGTTAGTTTCCTCTCGCTCTCCACGGAGAGATGCCACAAAAAGAGCAAACAATGGAGTAAGCATCTCCAAAGCAATTGAAATCACAAGGTGTCGTGACACCCCACGTTCATTTAAAAGGCTTCTGTTTTTAAAATATGTGCAATTTATAGATATTTTATAATATGTATGATATAGACAGGTGGCAAAGTAGGTTTACATTTATATGTAAAACAGTTTATTTTTTTATTAATATTTATTTAATTATTGTATTATTTATTATTACTCTTAACCTACTTTTGCCTATTCCTGTATTCATTATATAATATACCTGCAGAATATTATATACTCTTCCTACATATACTATACCTTATGTGTATTGTATATACTACATAATATATATATTAATATATCTGTATGTGCGTATATATGTGTGTGTGTGTGTGTGTGTGTGTGTGTATGTGTGTACTGATATATACATATATATCTTAGGTTATCAAACTTTCCTAATTAGGAGTTTTTAAGTGTGACCAAGAGAGAGAATCTAAAGGAATCTTTCAAATTGGTCCCCTTGGAAATGACAAACAAACCGGGATGTTGTTTGAACATAGGAGCTGTTTACTTTGTTGCAGCTGCAGACCTTTTTTGAGACATTCCTGAGGGCCAGTTCGCCTCTCCAGGCTTTGGACAACATGAAGGAAGCCATCAGCAAACTCCTGCTGGCCGCCGAAGCTTTCAGCGAAACGTCTCCTCTGGGATGGAAGACCTCCCACAGGTGAGCGCAAAGCCCGACGTTAAAAAGAGAAAAACCCTGCCTGCTAGAAATGGATTGTGAGTGAAAATATGTCTTCATTATCACATGTAGGTGCTTCTTGGAAAATGTTTTGTTACCCTGTTAACAGATCCTAAAACATCAGAGCGCTTTGCAGACTAGTCCGGGTCTAAACAGTGGGTGACAAGAAGCAGAGCAACGTTACTTACACTGATGTGTTAAATTGCAGCCCCTTCCAAGCTTAGCTATTTCTATCATATACTTATCACTGACTAGATATATATTTTTTACAGGCTTCTATGATCAAAGTTTAATAACTCCTCTGTCCATATCTCAGTGAACTTGAATATCATCTAATGCCCCTTTCCTAGGGAAATGTTAAAGCCAGTGTGCCAGAAGAGGGGATGAATCCATTAAGCATTATTGTGCTTTGTACGCGAATGAGACTATTAGGGTTTTCACAGCGCAACTTCATTGTTTAGGTTAATGCGTTATGAATACTTCAGATATATTTGTATTTTCTGTAAGAAACAAAACAGATTCCAAATACAAAATGAAATTGCACACAATTTTAGATGATCCGAAAACTGCTCTTTTTAATTATTACAGACCTTGAAATGTAACTACAGTAACTGTTCAGAATGTCATTCCAAATAATAGGTGAAATGCAGCAGATAGAATATAATTTGTTCCCTGTGTTTTCATTTCAGATGCAGTTTATGTTTTCAACTTTTAACCTTTGACATCGGTTATGGCAGGTTTACTTCCCCTGTGGTGCTCCAGGTGAGTGTGTCAGAGGGCTGTGTGAGCTCCCGCTTTATGCTGAACGGTGTGTGTGTGTGTGTGTGTGTGTGTGTGTGTGTGTGTGTGTGTGTGTGTGTGTATTTTAATTCACAGTAAGGAGTTAATAAATAGCAACTTTATTAAAGTTACTACTTACATTTATGATGGCTCAGAGAATTAACCAGTATGTGGAGAGCCTGTGATTTGAGTTCCAACTCCAGCTATGCATTCCCATAGAACAAGTATGGATTTTTCTATGGTTCAAAAACTGCTTATGAAAGAAACAGTGTATAAAGCTAAGTAGGTGAAATGCAGAAAAGCAGACATTTAGACCATAGAAACTAGAAGATTACCAAACTTTTTCATATGAGTTTGTAAGAAAAAGGTAACTCGTTCTTTACATAGTTACTTTAAAATTGGCCTGCATTTAAATGTAAAAGATCATAGAAATGTTTGAATGTATGCTATTTCTAATATAAATATATATAAATCGAAGAGTTTTTATATACTCTGATTCTTTTAATTCCTCTCAAATAAAATGAACTCATTCAGATAATTTCCTCCAATATATTTTAAATCTAAAATAGCCATTAGTGGAAAGAGAATTGATTGAATTCATCTATAGAAAGCTTTATTTTGGGATGAGGCTTGGGAAAGCGGGAAGAGGTACAAAATAAAATTATGTGCAACCAGAATTCAATTTTATATTGCATTGATTGATTTTCAAACTTTTATGTTAGGAGAATAATTACATTATACGTGACATTTGGTTGAATAGTTCAAAGATTTATCCATAAAATCACAAAGCTTTCTGAATTTATGTATTATAATGGTCATTCAATATTTTACACTGATCTAATAGTTTGTTATGCTCTTTAAAATGTATTGTTCAGAAATGTTATTATATGTTATCTTCCATGCACACAAGTTCTTCAACAAGGTTTTCAAGCTAAGCTAATGTGACTTTATAATCCATTAGTTCATTTCCTTACAAAGAATTGTATCTTGGAAAGAATATTACATTTTATGAAACTGTTGACCTCCAAGAAGACCACTAGATGTCAGTTCTGATCTACAATCCAACAGGAAATGAATCATGTCTGAGAAGTGACACTGCAGGAAAAGTAAGTCAATGAAATACATTTTCTGGGCTTCTCCTTCCTCACAGGTGCATGGCCATTTACATTTTCAAGATGACAATCATATGGATTTTGAGGACCAAAAGGCAGAAGAATTTATTTTAAAAGATGCTTTCAATTTTCTCTTCTCGAATGAATCTTCACTTTCCATATTCTCTGAGATATTTCAGAGACTCTACAGATCAGCTGTAGCCAAGGTAAGTGCATATTTTTGTACTGACAAATAGTTTTTCCCAAGTCATTCTTTACAAGATGCTATTTTCTTTATGGTGTAATTAAGCAACTTGATGATTCATTTGTATCAGTTACATTACCCGTCTTAGTATTTTTCTCATCTGAGGACCAGTGTTGTTTTTGTGTCAGCTAAGTATGTGACTGATTATGATATAAGTTATGGGTTGAAATGAAGAAAAGTAGTTCCTAATTCAGAAGGAACACTTGCAGATATTATGAGTAATAGGTATTATATGTTATAGAATACTTTAAAAGGAGTACCATAACTTTCTGGAGTCAGTCTAGAATAGCAGTTCCAGATTAACATCAAGGGTCTTGAGTTATATTAATTTTTTTGAAGCATTCATACCTCGTTAACAGACTAGATAGTGATGATTATGCTATAGTATTCATAATGCATTGATTAGTTTTTATGGTGTTAATAGAAGTGTTCTTGAGGCCTCCGAAATATCTGTATATGTTACTAAGTATGTTATCATTCTCTATATGTTGCTGCTGCTGCACTAGATGTGATTGTGCCTTTTTATTCAGGAGCTGAAATTGCTCGAAAACATTTAATAGAGAGGAGTGTTTAGTACCTGGAGGCTAAAGGGGACGCTTCCTATGTTTCCACAATGCCTCTCACCTCTGCCTCCTGGGCTCCTCTCCCCAGCCTTACTAACAGAGTACTCTTGAGTGATTTCATTCATATTTTCTATGTCAAATATGAAGTTCTCTTCTATGCAGACACCATTGTTGTGGTTGAAGTTATTATGTATTAGTTAGCATTCATTAGTCCAGCTGTTTATTTACAGAGTGAAAAATTTCATTGGTTTGTCAAGTGGGCTGTAACTGGGCCATAGCAAATGCTTAAGTGTTGTTTTTTCTCTCCTGTTATAGGGTGAAAACTACAAAAAGGAACTGAATCGATGCCTATCTTTAGAAGAGATTAATTCAATGATGACTTTCATAAAAGAACTTGGGAGCTTGGGGCAATTCCAACTGGTAAAACTAAAGTGCCATTTGAGTCATCTTGGTTACTGAGGTTATATAAATCAGCCAGGAACTGCTTGCTTTTGATTTTAACTTAGGTGAATATATTTCTCTAAGGAGCAGACATCTTTGTAAACTTCTTTCTTCTGTTCAGAAATATATGGAGATGAGAAGAATCCATCTTCTTGAAGAGTTTATAAATAATATGACTTATTAAAGCTAAAAGAATATGAGGTTTTTAAAACTGCCAGGATTTGACAGTTACTAAGGGGGAGATAACCAAATTTTTCTAAATAAGTTTTGCTTTTAGCTTTGGGATATTATCATGTGATAAAAATTTTTTCTGCTTCTGCCCTTTTTGTTGTGTAAAATCAAATATTATTGAATATGTTAATATTTAAGAATACTGACATAATTTATTATAACTCACACCAAAATAAGAAAATATAAAGTAAGAAAGGAAATGTAAATAACTAGAATAACTGTTACTGGTTTCAGCCTAAAAATATCATTATTTTCTTTTCTATGTATTTTCTTAGGTTTTATTAATTTATTGACCACAGAATAATTTATACATATATGTGCATTTTCAGTACTTGCTTTGTTTCTAGTTCTGCCACTTACATAGATAGATTATAATGAATTTGTATTTTTCTGCCTAAGATGCTTATATAAAACATTTTAACACAGCACTTTTAAAAATCCATTGATGATATATTATTAATGTGTTTGAATCAAATATTTATTTGTTGCTACGAGAAATCATGTATTCATATGCTACTTGTGTGAGTTATAACCAATTTACTATTTGCTTTTATAAGTTAGCCTCATATGTTGGAGGGTTTAAAGTAAGCTTATTGCCCCAAAGATAATTAAATGCATGGATTATCATTTTAATTATTTGAAACATAGTATTATACTCATAGCAGTTTGGCTTCATACTGTACCAAGATAATCAAAGAGACCTGGCCTCATTCTTCAGGAATTCATCACTTAAGATATTGTTAATGTCAAGAACATCTCTTGGCAGTCTGTGAGAAAGAACTAAAGAATTTCTTCACAGGAGAAAGAGCACACAGCAATTTACATACTATGAGAGCTGAAAGAGAATGCAGATAGTTTTTGGTAGGATTAATATATCGCACTTTAATATAATTCACTTATTACACAAGAGGATTCCTACCCATTCTTCCTGTTGCCTGACCCGTACTGGGCTGTTTTCAGGTATCTGGACGAAGGAGAAATCTATTTACATTCAATGAGAAGAGAATAAAAACTCAACCCATTTGGAAATATGATCATCAAAAAAAATGAGTGCTGTATTAAAAGTGGCATTTACCTTGATAACTACACAGAAAATTACATTATGGAACTGAAAATGGATTTTTAATAAATACTGATTTTTAAATATCTGAATATAAACTACTTCCTTAGTAATGCTACCTTTACATTTATTGTATACCACTTATTCTGATATTCTGTCTTTGAATATTCCTTCTCAGCTCTTTCCATCAACTTCTCCCGGTATTCAGTCTTGGATGCGTGAATTTTATGTCACTGCAAATCCTATCGGAAAAGCTCGTTCCGTCCTGACCCAACACTCCTCTCTTTTAAATGTTTTTGAGCAATTTCAGCTCCTGGATAAAAAGGCACAATCACATCCATTGGAATGGTAAGAGAGCCACAAACTTGAATTGGGCAAGTCAAAAAAAATCTGTAGTCTAAAGATTGATTTCAAAGGCTTTGCCGAAATTAAAGCAAGCAACAAAAAACAAGTGTGTCCAAAAATTCATGCTCTGGAAAATAAGCTTCTTGATATTATTGAAACCATAATGATTCCAGTGGTCTTCAAACACTGTAATAAAAATATATCCAACAGGGTTTCAAACCAACTGAACTTGACTCCACTAAAAAGTAATGCTTAAAGTTAAAAGTTTCGATCTAATTTCATTTCATAATATATGTCCTTGAGTTATGGGAACAGCAGGCAGAAAGAATTAGATGAGATTTGTTTTATGAACTCTCAGGCAGAATTAGCCCAAGACGGTGTACGCATTTACTTAGATGGTTTTTGAGGCATGACTTTTTTTTCTGGGAAAAACTTACCCAAATTTATAAAAACGTCCCAAATTTATAAAAAAATTCTTACCCAAAATTTTTTTTTTTTTAAGAAGGTAGAACCTTAGAGGGAAACATTTGGCTGGAAGAAAGTTTTCCTGGTCCCCATCTTCACTTCCACTCTAATGAAGGAGTGAGAGGGAAGATGGGCCTGGTGAGCATATTAACCCCTCCTGGCGCTGGGGAATAGGGCAGTGCCCAAGGCCTTAGCTAGGTAGAATGGTAGAATGAAGGGAAAATTTGGCTTTTCTGTGGCCAGGAAGACAGAAGTAAGCCAGTGGGGAGGTGAAAAACGAAGGCCATGGTAGTCATTGGTCTCTTGCCGTTGCCCTCAGGAAGGACATCTAATGTCTTAGACTGCATTTCCTTCTGCCTCAGGAGCGAGAGAATGCAATTCTATAAGAAGCTTGTTGTTTTGTCTGTAATTCAAAAAATACAAATCATTACATATTTGAAGAATTCTCTCTCAGGATAAGAAATCACTTTAGTTGTCACAGCTTTATGAAGTGGGCCTTATTCCCCCATACTTGGAAGCAGTAGGCCTGCCCGAAGGGTTTGCTTGTTTAAGAGTTAGGTTTTAAACAGCATAGCTCAGTGCTCTGTTGCTTGTCCCTTGCACTCACTGAAATCATCCAAAAGGTCTCCTATGTCATTGCTGATGGGGGAAGAGCAGACTTGATTGCTCAGGAAGCCTATTTAATTACTGTTTGTTACGTTCCCTTGAGTTACGCAAGCTTTGGAAAGGTTGTTTCCCAATAAATGGGGTGTTTTTTTGTTTGTTTGTTTGTTTGTTTTTCGTCATGTTTCACATATGTTGTAAAGTTACCAATGAAGTTACCTTAAATTCAGAATGTTGAATTTACCCTGAGCCCTAACCCTAACCCTAGCCCTAATCCTAACTGGTTCCCTTTCAACAAGGAAAGTTTCTAATCATTGCTGCTGAGTGCAGTTAGCAAAGGTCAGAACTTTTGGAATCAGACAGACTCAAAAATCCCAGCTTTGGAGTATATCCTTTTCAGCAGGTAAGTTTTGACCCCTCTGAGATTCATCTGTAAAATATGGTGGATTGGACTACCTACGAGGCATTGTTTCAGAGGACTGCATAAGAGAACTTGCATGTACCAGTGTGTAGTGTGTTGTGTTGCAGGCGGGTGCAAATAGCAGTGTGCTTTCCTTTTCATGTTTCTATACCAGTGGTCAGCAAACCATGGCTTGCCGCTATGTTGACTAATGAGTTCGCCGACCACTGTTCTATACCATCCCAAGTTCACTCTATCATCAATAGTGGGGGAGATATTTTATTTTTGTTTGTATAGGAAAAGCAAGATAAAAAATGGACAGATTTATCTAAATTAACACTGAGGCAAGTAACCTTCAGATCTCCATTAGGAAGCAATTAGTAAATTGCTCTTAGAATAATTTGAGAAAGAATACTCAGTTCTAATTAACTTGCAATTTACCTGTGAGCATATGTTTCTTCAATTGTGATTCATGCGGCAGTATGAGCATGCACATGGTACACATTTGTGAGATGAGGAAACTATCGTCCTGAGCAGGTGGGCCATTTACTCAAGCCGCACAGCCAACAGAAATAGGTGACCTTCACAAGCATGGTAAGGTGCCTTGTTCCAGCACCTAAGGCAGGCAGACAGGGCGGTGAGGTGAGGAGCAGGCATTCATCACTGTCCTTATCTTCACAATGGTCACCTCCAGATTTTTTTCCTATAGAAAAAGCCAATTTAACATCTTTTTACTACTACCTGTGGGGGTTATTGAGGTCATCCTTTATTTTATGTTCTTTTTATTGAATTTTTTTGGGTGACATTGGTTTACAAAACCATACAAGTTTCAAGTGTACAACTCAACCAAACATCATCTTCACGCTGCATCTTCTGTCTGCCCATCAAAGCAAAGACCTTTCCCCCCATTTTCCCACCTCCACCTGGCCCCCACCCCCTTTCCCTCTGTCAATGGTCACACTGTTATCTTTATCTGTGTGTTATGTACATATGTTTTGGGGCTAATCCCTTCAACCTTTTTCATCTAGTCCTCCCACCCCCTCCCCTCTGACAGCTGTCAATCTGTTCCATGTATCCATGTCTCTGTTTCTGTTTTGCTTGAAATAAAGATCAACTGCCTATAGCAACAAGGTGAAAAGAGATAAAGTCAGAAAAGCAACAGTTCAGAAAAGTGACAGGTATTCCTGTGTCCCGAGGCTCAGAATACAGAGGTTCCCAACAGAATTAGTATAAATCGGACAGAATGTGCACTCTCTATTAATGTTGACTTCCCTTGAAACAGAGTTGCAAGTGTAGTTGCTCTATTCACATGCTTGCCATGAAAACTCTCATTTTGAAAACATTATTTATTCACAAAGTTAAATGAGAAGTCACTGCAGGTTGCCTTAAAACATCTCACTCCACGAAGAGCGTAACCTCTCCAAAATCCAGTTTGCATGTAGGTCAGAGTTGCATCTATTATGAGCTTCATTTCGAGTTTTTGCTTCAGATGAGCTCAGAGATTTTCAATTAAACGTATCTCACCCCATGCTTGCTTTATCTGTTCCTTCATTCCTTGGAAGAAGGGAAATACAGTTGACCTTTGAAAACATTGTTTGGAATTGCACAGGCCCACTTATTGCAGATCCCCCCCCCCAATAAATACATTCAGCTGTCAGTATCCTTGGTTTTTGCATCTATAGATTCAACCAACCGTGGATCAAAAACAATATTTTCAGACCCCCAACCATGGATTTCTAACTGCAGTTTCCCAACTGCAGATCGAAAATGTTACTTTTCATTGTGGTTGGTTGACTCCTTGGATGCAAAAGGCCAATGGCAGTTAAGTTTTGGGCGAGTCAGAAGTTGTACATGGATTTTTAATTGCACATAGGGGTGAGCTCCTAACTTCTACATGGTTCCAAGGTCAACTGTATTTTAAAATTAGTTGCAGACATTGTTTTTTACCCCTAATTACTTCATTACACACACAAAAACAAACAAACAAACAAACAAACAAACAAATAAATAAATAAAGTGCAATAAAAGCATTACACAGTAGAAATATTTTTAATTCCTAGATTCTTCTTAATTTCCTTATGTGATGTTTATATTTTGAAAGAATTGAGTGTGGCTTATTCATCTCTTTCACAGATATTAATCAGCACATATCTAGGATGATAAATATGTATAAAATGTAATTATGCACAGAGCATTTGATTTAATTCTAATAGCATCCCTGTGAAGTTGGGCCAGTATTGTTATCTCTATTTCGTTGGAGTAGAAATGGGGATTCACAACAAAGCACAGGAAAGTCGAGTCACATCATGCCAGGTACTCTTTATTTCATGGCCAGCAATTTTTCTGTCTGCAATTTAGATTATTTCGTTCCAAAATTGGAAGATTTAAGGGGCAATCTGGCCAAGCATTTACTTATACAACAGAAAAATGAGGCAAACACACCACGATCTAACTAACCATTATCACTCACTCCTGTTAGCCAGAGATTAAGGATGGAAGTCTTGGCAAGCCTTTCTGCATGGCACCCTTACATTGCTTAGATTATATGTATGTTTGTCAGGCTTTTTGCTTCAAGACAGTAACTTCAGCCAAACAGATTCCAGGAAGAATGTGTGTTCCCAAATCTCTTCTGTTGGACCCCAACTATCAGAGATTGCTTGCTTTTGGCCTGAAGAGTGACTTTTACCCTGGTTTTCTTCAAATGCGCTTCTGCTGATTAGAGATGATGAGATTTCCACCCACCTCGTTCGAGACAAGATTGCCAGTTCAATGAAATCCAGAAAGTGTTTCTTTGTGTTCAACAAAAGCACTGTGCCTCACATAAAAAAAAAAAAATAATGTGTGTGTTTGATGTAATTCCTGTGATTTTGTTCATTTCATTGATAGAGCTGTTTGGCCTTGCACTTGCAGGCATTCCTTCGCGAAGGATGAGAACATTGAAAAACCACAAATGCCACTTGGTGCAACTGAACATAAAAAAGGTAAAAGGATAGTCTCACCCTTAATTGAACATGAAAATTGGCATTGCGTGGGCAAAACACACATAAAAATTGTTTAACTTCAGTAGCAATCTAAAATGAAAATTAAACAAGGAAATGCTGTTCCCTCATATCTGGAGGTATTTCCTTCTTAAAAATAATAGAGTTGGGGAGAGTGAAGAGAAATAAATATTCTCATGCTACTGGTAGATGTATGAGTCAGAATCTTTATAAAGGGCCATCTAACAACATATAAGATAAGCTTTGAAGTTTTTCTTTTTTATAGTATATGTTAACTTTATTTTTTAATTGGTTTCAGAGAGAGGAAGGGAGAGAGAAAGAGAGATAGCAACATCAATCAGGGAGAAACATCCATCAGCTGCCTCCTACATGCTCCCTACCGGAGATCAAACCCACAACTTGGCCTGTACCCTGAACAGGAATCAAACTGTGACTTCCTGGTTCATGCGTCAACACTCAACTACTGAGCTACACCAGACGGGCAAGTTATTCTTTAGACCAGAAATTTCACTTCTGGATATTCATTTTAAGGAAATCATTTAAAATGTATACAAAATTAATTACAAAAATTATTAATAAGTAAAAAATAAATCATTATTGCAATTCTAATGAATCCAATAAAGAAAAAAAAAACTGTAAGCATCCAATAAAATACTATAAATACAGTGTTTCCCAAAGTGTGGTATGCATGCCCCCAGGGGTACGGGAAGAGTTTGGTGGGGTACGCATTGCACCGGAGTTTGGTGGGGATATGCACTGCACCGTGTTTAGCTGTGCCTAATTCTACGTTCTCATGAGTACAAGGGGTACTCAGCTTTACGAAAATTATAGAAGGGGTACACATATGTCAAAAGTTTGGGAAACACTGCATAATATTGTGGGAGTATATTTTTGACCTTACATATATTTTTGATATATTGTTAAGTGGGGGGGAAAAAAAAGGCAGCATGAGTCTCAAGGAAAATTAATGGTGATTTTTTATTTCATCTCTTGTATTTTAGTTATAAATTCTATTTTTTCTTTCTTTGATTCTATTTGATTTTCTAATTTTTTCTTTCTAAAAAATACTAATTCTTGGTTGCAAGAAAAGAAAAAAATGTTATTTTTAAAATAAAAAGAATATATCTAAATTTTTTAAAATCAAAGTTTTCTTACTACAAATCAAGGTTTAATCCAATACAATGGTTCTGAATGTGTGGTCCCCAGACTGGCACCATCAACATCACTGGAGAAACTTGAAAAATTCAGATCTAATGAATCAGAATCTTTGGGTATGAAACCCAGCATTCTTTGTTTAGCAAGCCTTGCCCATGATTCTAGGCACACCAAAGTTTGAAAATCACTGCTTCAGTAGAATGAATGAGTAGGCCCAGTGAAGAACTGATGGTGAGCTGAAATTCCATTCTACTCTCTCCCATCAGTTTGTGCTCTTTAAAATGAATGGCTTAAGCACTCAGTGTTCTTATTCACTCATTTGTACCATAAATATTTATTTAAAAGTATTTTAATTCAGAAACTAAGAGAAAGTATCATTGACCCAACTAGGATGGAATTGCTGTAATTCTAATAATTTGGGAAATATAGCCATAGGATTATTGAACTGGAAGGAATCATGAGAGATCACCATGAGGCAATGAATGGCATTTAGACAGTTCATATTGCCCCCTTAACATTTCCCTATTTAAAATAATCATTCTTGTGAGATTTGAACCAAATAACTTGTTTTGTTTTACTATAATTTTCATTTTAATTTATAAGTACTTTCTGATGTGATAAAGTTAAATAATAAATATGGTTTATTTGATTGAGTTGTGTTTGAGATTCCTGAATATGTATTTTTAAATTCTGATTACGTTTTAAATGTATACTTTCTAGTTGTGGTTCAACAAATTATGAATGCAACCATAGAAGTGCACTGCAGCAATGGTAAGTACCTGTGGGCGGTTTCAGCAACCCTAACAGGCACAGCTCTGCTTTGAATAAATCATCATTCATTTTGTTTGTTTTTCTTTAAATTTCTAATTTATCTTTATTGTTGAGAGTCATACAGGTATATCCTTTTTCCCCATTGACCCATTCCAGCCTGCCTCCCCTCCCTGGGCCTTACCACGTTATCTGTGTCTATGGGTTATGCATATAAAGTCTTTGGTTAATCTCTTCCCACCCATCCACCCCCACCTTCCCTCACATTCGACAGTCTGCTCCATGTTTCTATGTCTCAAGATTTATTTTATCAGTTTAGTTTGTTTTTTAGATTCCACATGTGCCTGACATCATGTGGTACTAATTTAGCAAAATATTTGTGTACCTTTAGGCTATTAATTTAAGTAGAATTTCAGAAGATATGAGATTTCTGAATGAGTCAATATCTATCACTTTTGCATAAAAATATTTTATGTTTATTTGTTTAAGATCAGTATATTCCAAACTCATTTTGAAGGGCCCTGTGGGTGCAGCTTTTCCTTGGGGGTTGCTCAAGTGGACAAGCTTAGCTCCTCTGCTTTCTATGGACATTGACTTTTAGGACTCTCCCTACAGGATTGAGAGTCTGCTGTGTGTTGGGCTCTAGGCTGATGAAGTATTAGGAAAGCCCTGTACCTCTCTGGTCTTCTACTTTCTCATTTATAAAATGAAGCGACTATTCAAGATTCTCTCTCTCTCTCTCTCTCTCTCTCTCTCTCTCTCTCTCTCTCTTTTTTCAGTTCCCAGGTAACATGATGTAGATACTGTGAAAATGTCAGATACGCTCTTCACCCTTTTCATGCCAATAAAAACAAGCCTGACCTATGTCTTCACAATTAATCTTCCTACTTTTATGGCATGAGATTTTAAAGATAACTTAGTAATGCCTCAGGACAGGTGGGGTTGCATTTCAGAGTCTAGGCTGTTCTCGTGTTTAATCTGAGTTATGATTATCTCTCAAGAGGGCAATAAAAGTCTGCGGTTTAGAGAGACACGTTAAAAGCAACCAACTCTTCAAGTAGCTTTTCCATATGGACTTGCCAAGTAGATTACGCAGCCTGCTACCATCCTGGGTTCTCCATCCCAGGTAAGCAGGCCAGACAAGCTGGGACTGGGGCGGAGAGGATGCCAAGGAAGAACCACGTGTTTGTAGCAGCGACACAGGTGATTCAGTTGGATGTGACGTCAGACATAAGTCAGCTTTCAAGCAGGGGTTTACAATGCAGCACATAAGCCGGAGGTGAAGTTTCCGATGAAACTCGATACAAGGACCTGTTCAAATCTTGCTTAAAAGTAGGATTATGCATTTTACGTCATGGAGGGCTGTTTCAGTGCTGCAATGGGAGAGCCTCATTGGACACTTCCACTGTTAAGTGACAGTGTCAACCCTCCATGAACCCTCCATGACTGATAAAAATATACACTAAATTAAAGTACACCTCCTATAATATTATTGTTTGGGGAAGAAAAACACACAAACAAATACTTTCCATTTTGTTATTTACTTAATGGTCCTGAGCATAGGAGGGGAGTGCAAGCATTTAAATACCCTTCGTGCCCAGGACATGGTCCTCTGGAACTGCCTTTCCTCCCTCGGAGCCACCTGGTGGGCAGTGCCATGTCAGGTCACCGTCGCCACTTCATCAGCCCTCAGGACCCACAATAGCCTGTTTGCCCTGCACTGACCTCAGTGCCTCGAACCCAGACTATGTCCAAAAAAAATGTTTTGAATAAAAAATGCATTCTTAGCAAGCAGTTGAATTAGAATACAAAGGTATGGGCCTTTTCAAGATGAAATCTAATAACATAATCTCGCCCTCATTCTTTTGTGTTTTAATTTATTATAAAATATTTAGGACCTGGTGTGATCATCAGAATTATGGTGCAATCTACCCTCATCTATCAGCCAGCAGGAATTTTTGTGCAACAAGTAAAATTAATCGGGCTGGTAGCTTACTCAGTTCACTGACTTCCTCAACTAAATTGACTAGTGGTTTGTATTTTGTTTTTGTTTTTTCTTCATCAAGAGTTTTTCCTACAATGAAATTACACTATAGCACTTGCATTATTAATGACCCTAATTTATACCTGAAGAGTTTTTCCTTCCACTGGCTGAGAAAAGCATAGAGTGTAGGTCAGAAACGTACAGACTTTTTTCATTTTCATCATCTTAATGAACAATAGGAGTTATACTGTGACTCATTTTAATGAACAATGGGAGTTATTTTGTTCTCGGAACTAACATAACATATTTCTAAGGACAGTGGTGCCCCTCACCGGGGATTTGGTGGTGCCTCTCCATGTCTGTCAAAGAGATAAAAAGTGTTATTGCTGAAGCACAAATCTAGGATAAAAGAGGAGATGCAACAGCGAGAAAGACAAGGAAGAGATTGTGCAATGCCTGCTTCATTTGGGGGTTGAGTTAAATTCTGGAGGTGATGAGAAAACATTAAAACACTGAAGACAAATCATTAGATTTGCTGTTGGAAATTCATGGTGATCGCCATATTAAAACGAAGGAAGAGGCAACAGTTAATAAGATAATCATTTTTTAGGTTCAATTGTATAACTTCCTGCAGTGAATTCTATTATCTTTTGGTTGCCAAATTGTTAAACATCACTGAATATTGTATTTTAAAGGCAGAGTGAAGACACTTTCATTTTACCAATTTTTATAGAAAAAATTTTTTTACATTTTTCTTTACTGAAATCTTGTCAGTTGGAATGTATTTATGGAATTAAAGACTTGTCAATATTTTTTGCAAAACATTTGCTAAGCTTCTTTTGAGTAATTTGGTTACTCCAAGTATGAACACAATATAATTTAGCAGCAGCTGGTAGTTTTGCTTGTTAAGATAATTTTGTAAAAATTGGTCTACCAAGTAGAAACATGCTTTAAAATGGCTTAGAATCAATGGTATGAAGTAATATGTCAATTCTCTAATAGGATTGAGCAGAAAATAGCCTTTTCTTCTTACACTTCACTGTACTTTTTTAGGTTGAGGTGCCTGGGTGGGGAGGGGGGCAGGGTCCCTGTGATGTTTGGTGTAAGAGCTGAGTGTTTGGTATAAGATTGGAGTACACATTCTTTGCTCCATCCTGCTGCCTACAAGCTACTTTATCAATCCAATGGCAGTTTAATGACACTTCCTGGTAAGAAATTCTCCTCATTCCCTGCTGGTTCTCTTCTGTCACCACCCCACGGAGTCATCACCCCAGATTCACTATTGCTTAATATATGCAGTAAATGCCATGAACATGTTATCAATTCACTGGAGAGATATTTTCCCACCTCCTGTTCCTTTAAAGCTTAAAGGGCTGAACAAAATATATGATCTCTGTGACACCACGTAAAGTCAATAGCTGTTATATGAGCCAAATTCTACAAAATTTGACAAATAAAAGTCACAAATCTACTCTGACCAATTTTCTTTTCCTTTTCATAAAAAAACAAACAACAAAACCACACAGATGAAGACATACAATGTCATATCAAGCAGATCTTCACACAGCCACATTTGGAGCTAAGTCCTGAATTTAACCCGAAGATCAAAGATTATTACTCTGAAGTCCCTTTTGATGTGGTGACAGTGACAATTGGAGTGGAGACGTCTAACTGTCAGTGCAAGGTGTACCTGCACGAACGGGCAGGGCCCAGGTATGGAGTGCTGCCAGGCTGAGCAAAGATGTCACAGTGGGAAACAGACATTTGAGGCAACCTTTGCAGGTGGTTTGAGAACACTGAGGCATGAGATCCATTGGAGCGATTAATGGGGTATGAAATCTCTCCACTTCTCAGGTGTCCTGTGGTTACAAAGAACACATCAGTGCTCTCCTGATCTATTATAGAATCTTGGTAACCATGCTTTAACAGGAGTGGATCTTGTGATATGGAATATCAAAGAGGATCCAGTAAGGAAGAAGTTAGTTTATCATTGTCCTCATGATTTTAGATTGCTAAGGAGTTAATCTCTCCAAACAGTGGCCTCCCACCAACCCAGCTCCTCAAGTTTTTGAATATTCAGGGATTGATTACTTAATAAACATGTTGTAGACAGAGTCACATTATCTTTCCTCGTCTCCCTGGGACTTTGTCCTCCTGACCTTTTTGAAAGCAACCAACTATTTTGTTTGTAATTTCTTTAAAATATATTTTTAATTGATTAAAAAAAATTATTTTATTAATTTTTTTACAGAGAGGAAGAGAGAGGAATAGAGAGCAAGAAACATCGATGAGCGAGAATCATCGATCAGCTGCCTCCTGTACACCCCCCACCGGGGATGTGCCCGCAACCAATGTACATGCCCTTGACCGGAATCGAACCAGGGACCCTTCAGTCCGCAGGCCGATGCTCTATCCACTGAGCCAAACCGGTTTCGGCTATTTTGTTTGTAATTTGAACAGGAGATGAAACTTTTTAATATTTGTGTTCATAGCAATGAAGACACTTCTGTTCCCAAGCTGTAGGGAAAGAATGCTGTTGTAGCCCTGGGGGCCACGAAAATGTAGCAGACAGAAGAGGAATGAGCCAGACGAAGCTGGGTCCCAAACCTGACTCTCCCATGTGACTTCAGGCAATTTGTTTCCTGGTTCTAGGTTACGTTCCCTGTATTTAAAATGAGGACAGTCATGGTTTTGTGTAGAGTTGCTGTGAGTGTTAAATGAGATAATGGATTACCCTGACGGGTGGTTAATAAATATTAGTTTCCTTTCCTATATTTATAGGAGACACAACTTGCTTAGCAAGAGAACTCTTAGCATACCAACCAAAGTACTGGGAAACAGAAGTGAAAATATTGATTTCAAATGTTAGGTTTCTTGTGAAATTGTACAGACCAATTGCAGGCACTTACAATTAATGTATAAATTCATTTGGGCTGAGTAGACGTTTCTCTCTCCAGCTTTGCCAACTACCCTCTGGGCTTAGGGACAAACAGAATCTCAATGCTTGTGGTGGATGAGTCTCCAGCCCAGGGGGAGACCCTGATCATGTACAAACTCACCATCCATCGAGAAGACCGTCCAACTCTGCCCTTGTTTGAGGACTTCACGGCATGTGGTTTTGTGCAGGTAAGTGGATTTTACGTTCGCACTTGGATCGACTTGGAAGTGATGTTAACCCAGGTGAAAAAATCCAAATGAAAATTGTTTTAGGGGGAGTTTGGGGGGGAGTATGTCTTTCAATCCAAACTGTGGTCTCATTTCAAAAAGGCAAGAGTCTCAGCCAGGTATCTAAGATACCATGTTATGAGTGGTTTTCTTTTTAATGGGGTGGCTTCTCCCTGCACCGACGGAAGTCAGTGGATCTATTGTGGTTAATATAAAAAATGTCTGAGCACTCACACTTAGCTATGAAATTGGTTTTATATTTCCCTTTTAAATTGTGCTGTGTTTCTTGGATTTGACCCTGGATCTACTTTGAAATTTTAAACTACTTTCGGCAGAATTTATTTTAAAGAAGGAGAGGAAAATTTATGGAACTGTTTTACAGATGGGATACCCAATGAATGAGATTCAATTTGCTTGGGTAGATATATTTTGAATTCACTTCTCATGCCTTGGTCGTTCTGAAAAGCTGTAGTTTCTCTTGTGAGTGACACACCCTGTGTTCTAGCCTATTGATTTTGGAGGAGGGTAAACATTGCCCAGAGACTTTGTCTTGTTTGATGATTCTCTCCTCAGTTTCTCCCCCACACCCACCCACCCTTTTTAGGATTCTAAGTATAAACTTCTATATTTCCTTACATCATATACCCTCCCTATGGGTGATTCTAGGGAAGTAGTAATTGGCACTATTATCATATGTACTGATCCACTCAGCAAGTATAATTAAATGCATCACGTTACAGGGACTTTTTATGCCACTTGGAGCATTGAAGGCACAGAGGGTCAGTAAGAGAATAATGACCCACAAGGACTCAGTGAGTGGTATGTATATACCATGTTTTCTTAAATGTAGTGGCCAAGTTCAGTATCCTCCCCCTCTCTACTCATCACCATCACAGTCTCATCTGTCCGCCAGAGCTTAATACTGTTTCATAAGGGTGCCCATCACTGAGATGTATATTTTTTAAGGAAACATCTACTTTTAATTTATGAACTACCACCGACTCATGTTAGCCTAAAGATTGCTCTAAAGCAGGCAGGATGAAACCATTATTCTGAAAGATAGTAACAGGTGAACTTATAAGGTGGAAAAGATCAGGATCCATGCCACATACGTTTATGAAGCCATGGTTAAGCAAAAGCAAGTAGGTTTCTTTATGGTGGGACTTCTCTGCACCTTTCCTACATTGATTGAACTGGCAGATCTTCCAAAGGAGAAGCTACGGTGTGTAGCATTTCCGAACCCGTTGGACATTCCCTCTGTGCAATAGCTACTAAATATGCTTCTGTACAAACACTGGGCTAGACTTTGGAGACCACTGGAAAACATGTTCCTGTCAGTGATCATGTTCTGGTTTGCTTTACTTGGGGAAGTAATCCTTTTGAGCCCAAGAGAGTAAACTATTGCAAGCAGATGCTATTGTCCTTCAGAAAGCCAACAGGAAGAACTGCCTGAGAAGTCAAGTAGGGAGAAGGCCCCTCTATACAAACCCAGAATCCTTAGGTGGGATGAGTGAGGGAGAGAGGGGACAACGGAGATTGGGAGCCAGAGCACTAGGTAATTCCTTGGTCTGGTGGTGGCATCTGCTATTTTTTCTGATGTTTGCAACTCTCCATGATCTAGGGCAGTGTTTCCCAAACTTTTAACATATGTGTACCCCTTCTATAATTTTTGTAACACTGAGTACCCCTCGTACTCATGAGAACGTAGAATTAGGCACAGCTAAGCACGGTGCAGTGCATATCCCCACCAAACTCCGGTGCAACGCGTACCCCCACCAAACCCTTCCTGTACCCCTGGGGGTACGTGTACCACACTTTGGGAAACACTGATCTAGGGGAAAGGAAATCAAGAAAAATTGTCAGAAGCTGATATAGAAAGACACAAGATATCTTAATATTAGTTGTCTTTGTAATCGCTCAAAGCTGTAAACAATTCAATAAGAAAAGGGATAAATAAATTCAACAAAATATTATTGAGATATTTGTGTGTATTCTCAAAATGGAGGAATCTCCAAAACACTATGTTGAGAAAAAGAAGCCAGACATAAGACATAATGTATTACATTTATATGAAGTTTAAGAATAGTTAAAACTAACTTAAGGTGATAGAAATCAAAATAGCGGTTACCTAGAAAGTATGGGTACCTCTAAGCATGAATGAATTGTTTTGGCAAATATCTTAACCTGAGCAGGGTGGTTACATAGCTCCCCAAAACCACTTGGTATGTAAGTATGTAAAAATTAATTAATTAACTATGCTCTTAAGATTTATGTAATTTACTGTATATAAAATGCATAAAATGTATTTGGCTATTATAAATTATTTATTTGAATATAAATTATACCTTAAAAACATAAGATAAAAACATTAGTGGGTAAGTAGCTATTACTTTCCAAGATATGTCTCCATTCTTATATATTATATTGATTAGGACCAGTTAATTACCATGCAATTATGTTAGACAATAGATTATATTAGGCATTTGTTACTATGATCTGAAGGAAAATATTAGATATTTTTTGGGAGATGTGTCCTACATGTGATTGAAGAAAAGTATTTCAGTCATTTATAAGAATAATTTCCAGGTCTTAATTAAAAGTTTTTGTGTGGTTCCTCAGCAGTACTATATTCTATAACATGGAAAGATGTCTAATGAGCATTAGTATTTTTTAGCCTTCTTTCATTAAACTGTCAAATGACTGCACAGGTGGCGAATAAATAATGTAGATTATTTTAGCCCCTTCCTAAGGAACTGAGAAAAGTCAATTGCAGAGGTTTTCTCACCAGACACACCCATTAAAATCCTAATCCAGAGACCTTTTCCTTATTTCTCCTTTAGTTTACTTCATTAGGTTTCACTGCAAGTTGAATCCATGTTGAAGTTTAGCGTACAAAGAGTGAGGGTTAAACGTTCCTACCTCCTATCACTTCTTAGGTATTTCAGAATTTTCCAGTGAAGTTAATAGCTAACTAGAAATGCCTTATGAGACTTAAAAAACTTTTGGTCTTCAGAATAGTCGTTTTTATTTTCTGTCAACATCCAGTGTCTCCCTTCATTGTATTCCTAAGGCTGAAGTCCAGAGTCAACAATGGCAAAAAAAAAAAAAAAAAAATGAGAGGCTGTTCTAGTGGAATCTCCAAAGCCTTATGTGGAACCTAAAAGGAAATGGATTAAACTGTAATTATATCTTATCTGTTGGTTAAGGGGGAAAATTACAACTCCTCCTTGCATTTCAAGTTAGATTTTGGTCTAATGGGCTCAATTATTAAATTTTAAACAAATGTAAGAAGCAATCTGCCTTCAAGTAACCAAAAAGGAGAATCTAATTTGTGGTTAATCAGCTTCTTAATTTCTCCTTCCCTCATTCTCTCAACTTCTTTCTGAATGCCAATTACTCACTTGATCCTCTCACCAAAGACAGACAGTAAAGATAAAGCAAATATAAGGCTTAGCAGTCAATTAAAAAAATCAATTACTTATGACTTTTTGGTGAATAATGAGCTAATTGAATTAATTTGTTAATAGACATTTGTATCTTTTATATGCTCAAACATTGTTAAGTGCCTACTTAGCCATAAATAACTATTCTAGTTTAGTGCCTGTTTCTAATTATGTTGTCAATTGGAAAGTATATGGTTATCACAGAAGCAACTCTTAGTTATGTTAGTACCAGTGATGGAGAAAGAGTAGTTTATTTGTCTACATAAAACAAGATTTGGAACGAGGTTTCTCAACCTTGGCACTATTTTTTTTTTCTTTATCATTTTTTTAAATTAAAGTATTATATGTGTACATTCCTTACCAATCCTCCCCCTACTCCCATAAATGCCCCCCCCCGAGTTTTGCGTCCATTGGTTATGCTTATATGCACGCATACAAGCCCTTCGATTGATCTCTTATCTCCCCCATATTTCCCTACCCTCCCTGCTGTAATTTGACAGTCTGTTTGTTTCTTTACTGTTTCTGTATCTATCTTTTTGTTCATCAGTTTATAATGTTCCTTATTATCCATAAATGAGTGAGATTGTGTGGTCTTTTTCTTTCATTGACTGGCTTATTTCACTCAGCATAATGTTCTCCAATTCCATCCAGGTCGCTGCAAATGATAAGAATTCCTTCTTTTTATGGCAGCATAGTATTCCATTGTGTAGATGTACCATAGTTTTTTGATCCAATCATCTGCTGATGGGCACCTAGGCTGTTTCCAGATCCTAGCTATTGTAGATTGTGCTGCTATGAACATAGGGGTGCATATATCCTTTCTGATTGGTGTTTCTAGTTTCTTAGGATATATTTCTAGGAGTGGGATTACTGGGTCAAATGGGAGTTCCATTTTCAGTTTTTTGAGGAAACTCCATACTGTTCTCCACAGTGGCTGCACCAGCCTGCATTCCCAACAGCAGTGCACAAAGGTTCCTTTTTCTCCGCATCCCCGCCAGCACTTGTTGTTTGCTGATTTTATCAACCTTGCTACTATTGATGGTGGGCTGGATAATTCTTTGTTCTGGGGAACTATGCTGAGCATTGTCGAATGTTTATTTAACAGCATCCCTGGCCTCTACCCTCTAGAGCCCAGTAGTCTGCCCCTCTCCAAGTGGTGACAACCCATAATGTCCTCTCAGAGGTGAAATCAATCCCAGTTGAGAATCACTGATAGAGACAAATGAAAGATCCTGTTTTTCTACTTCTATTAATAATTCTCTAGTGGTATGAGTTATTTAGAGGTAATCCTCCAATGTTAAATGTTGAAGAGTCAGCCCTCCTATCTTTTTTTCATCAGTGATACTACTCTGATGCTCTTTATTCTACTTATTAACGGGCCTTCTTTTCTGGCTAATGTAATTATGTTAAAAAAGCCATATAAGATACATATACTGTTTTTTCATTTTGATTTACCCAAGTAGCATAATGTTTTGCTAAGGAAAAAAGGTTTAGAAAGTAATAAACTGCTATTATGGC